ATTTGCTTTTGTGTTGTTAGGCATGTCGAGTTTTGATGTCATTCTAAGCATGGATTGATTATCTTCGTACCGAGCTGTGATTGATTGTTACCGTCAAAGTGTTACGGTGTGATTGATTGTTATAGGTTTGAGAAACCATCTTTTGCGTAACCGGGCTTAAGCCTTAGAACTTGTAAGCCCTCAAGGGCATTTATTTATTTTTGATTAAATGTTTCACAAGCTATAGATTCAGGTGCTAGAATTTATTGAATGTATACTCGTATGTGGAACTATTTTATTCGACCTCATGATCTGTAATGCAAAAATTGGGAAATTATTTTAGTTTGTCATAAGGAGTAATGGGTGTTATGTTATCATATTGTATTTTTTTTTTCGGGGGACATTACAAAAACGATGGAAGGTAAAATGGCATAGCAAAGGCATACTTGTTTTGTTTTGGTTTCTGTGGTGGATCGAGGCCTGGAATGGGTATCTGAGTTTGGTTGGAAAACCCATTGTTCTAAGGCTTACGATTAGCCATCTTTTAGAGAGAGAGAGAGAGAGAGAGAGAGAGAGAGAGAGAGAGGAAATTCAAATGGACATGCACAGAGGGTATATGGAGAGTTGTTTTGTTCATGTGTTTCTGTGGTGTGGTGGGTTAAGCTATAGCTGTGTAGTATAAATAGACACACTGATGAGCATACCTTATGATTGAGAATGATGATGCGTATTATAAATTGTAATATACCACAAGATGAATTTGACTCTTGGATATTTTTTTTTCCCCTCGTAACCAATATTACATGATAATTCAATTTGATATTTATTGGTTAAAATAGTGAGGTTTAATAAATTTTTATCATATTTTTTAAAATAACTTGACATTTATCAAGTGATAAATATTGTGAATTCTAAGAACATCAATAATTTCAAATAATCATTGTTCACTCTCTTTTTCATACTCGACATACTTAAATTAGAACCCACGTTGGCTTGCATACTTGCATCAAGTATCACGAAATTCTTCAGCGTCTCCTATAAACCGCTGGCCCACGGGTGTAACACCATTGGCCTAAGGGCCTGATAGCAATTTCTTCTCCTTAAGGTGGCAAAATCTCTAGAGTGCGTCAATTTCTTTCCTATCCCCCACACACAGTGACCCAGAGCTACTAGACTGGCCAGCTTCACTTTTCAATTCAACAACAACCTCTACCTGTTTCCCCATTGATTTAGCAAGTAAGAACATACTTTGAAACTCATCACCATTGTCTAAATTACACCTATTAATCTTAGGTAGCCTAAAAAACAATGGAACACAATCAACAGATAATTCGCTTCATTTTTCACACACACACTCCACAAAACATGAATAAGACAGTGTTCGCACAACATTTATTACAGTAGTACTGCACCCAATATGAAAGTATCCATCTGCTGCAAAAATACAAAAACAAAAAAGTGAGCAACCACACGCACAATACCACAAACATGAAATAACCTATGATATGTGAATATTTACATCATACAAACAATAGGAATGTCCATATTTTGCATTGCTAATCCCAAATTGAAGACTTTCTTACCATACCTACACATCATTACAAATTATACAAGTCCAAATCCACACCACCAAATATAATGACAATAAAACATGCAAACATCTCCCCATAATAATATAACCAATAATATGTGAACGTTCAAATTGTTCATACAATGTGTACAGTCACATTGTTGACGTGATGTGAATATATTCAACATAACAAAAAAAAAAAAGTCATATCTGAGCACATTACTAGACAAACCCATAGCTCCATTCAACCAACCAAAACTTGCATGTCCATCTATTCTAAAAAATGAAGTTAACAGCAAAAAAAAAAAAAAAAATAGCATACAATCCTTTATGTACATTCTCATTGTTTACGCGATATAAATATTCACCACATCCAAAAAATAGAGCCATATCCAAAATGCATTACCAGACAAAACACATAACCCTATTCAGCCAACCAAAACTTGCATGTCCATTAATTCCAGAAAATGAAGTTGAAAGCAAAACATTGAGCTTACAATGTTTTATATAAATACAAACACAAATGAACATGCATCTATTATATACTAACCTTGAGATAACTACTCGTTCTTTCCTCTAATCAATGTTTGATTTCGCAACAATGTAAAAAAACATAGCACAAACGAAGTCTTGACTCTTTGTCTTCCTCAAACACCAACCAAACCCAAACACAACCAAGAAACACACAATGAAGCAACTCACAATGACATTGAAACATGATGACAATCAACGTGGATCATGGGAACTACCAATATGTAATAATAGTCAAAAATAGAAACGTGTATATCATTTTTGTGTGTAATATATATTAACATTAAATATAAGGATATAAGAATCTAACAAAATAATGTAAATCAGGAAAAAAAGACCTTATGAAATAAAAGTATAAACACATTGGACTAAATGGGGTACACATTTTTTGATGGACTTATTAGGTTAGAACACCTCTAAATGAGATTTATCAATAAAAAAAACCCAAAGAATTAAGGTTGAAGAAAACACTTAATTAAATGCGATAAGAAAAAAAAATGCTCCTTATTAAACCCCTTAACAAAATATAAACATCATTGTCTTAAGACCCATACTGGACATTGTGTAAATAATGGTAAGACTCTCGTTATTCAGAAGAGTAATGATACACAAATAAAAAATTCATATAAAATTTGTATACATAATAATGTGATTCAATGTATACCATTTATTTTAAAATAAAACACCCACAAAGATTGAAATTCTAGACAAGGAATTACACATCTTGCACAATGTAATTTATTTATTTATTTTTGTTTGGTTACAATGTAAAGTCCAACCACCTGTGGACGGAAATGGAAAGACCTAAATTATAACAAAGAAGCAATGCATTAGTAATGCACAACACAAATGACTTTAGATAATGAGGCCATGTTTGGGAAGTTGATGTTATAGCTAAAAAATTAAAAAATTACTACAAAAAAATAATATATTTCTTTTTATTTTCTTGTACGATTTTTTGTAAAAATTTAAAATATCACTAAAATACCTAACTTTCAAACGAACCTTGAGTTAAACCCATAAACATATCCGGTGATATGAGAAAGAGAAAAAAAAAATGTCTATAGTATTTTATTTTATTTTATTATATATATTTTGGGTAAACTACCAATAGGTCCTAATAGTTGGACTTAATTCTCATCAAGTCCTATTGAAAATAAGTATTGATAAAATTGTCGTTAAAAATAATTTTTTTGTGAGAATTTTTATATATGTCGCTAAAAATTGACAATTAGTGATTTTTTTTGTCATGATTTTTATAAATTGTCGCTAAAACTTACAATTAGTGACATTTTTTTATGACAAATTTTTCTCATAGGGCCTATTAGACAATTAGTCCACTTATTAGGATCTACATGTAAGTACCCCTATATTTTTTTAAGATTAACTAACAGTATTGCCCATATCATTACAACATTTTCATAGTTTAGTGACACTTGAAAGTGTCACAAAACTACTCCTCTAGTGACATTTTTTAGTCTTGTGGCATTTCGAATAAGTGTCACTTATACCCATGCCATGGTAGATTCTAGTGCCATCTCAATGACACTTGCAAACGTCATCAAACCATCAAGGTTAAAAACTTTCAATGACACTTTGATGAGATGGTAGACACTATCAAGTGCCATTAAAGAAGGCTTACAATTTAAAAAGTGGCACTATATACTTTTTTAATGGCACTTCTTATGCCATAATTGATATTCACTACAACAATTTACACTTTTGGCGAGCAAAATTGGCGACTAAAAGGAATTTAGTCGCCAAAAGTTGTACAATTGGTGACTAAAATTTAAATTAGTCGGCATTGTCTCAAGTTTTGGCTACTAAATTTTTTTAGTCACGGTATATTATTTATTGGCAACTATAAAATAATTTAGTCGCTAAATATGGCACAATAGGTGACTAAAAGTTTTTTTGGTTAGCATTAGTTTAAGTTTTAGGCTACTAAAGTTTGTTTTAGTCGTGGTATATCAATTTTTGCCTACTAAAATAAACTTAGTCGCCAAATAGCTAGCATAATGTTTACTATTACTCTTTGGCGACCAAAAATTTGGTCGGCAAATATTCTTTTTCGGTGACCAAAATGGTTTTAGTCGCCAATTAGTATTTTTGCCTACTAAAATAATTTAGTCGCTAAATAAAAAGCATAAATTTTATTTTTTATCTTTGGTGACAAAATATTTGGTCGGTGGATATTTCTTTTTGGTGACTAAAATACTTTTGGTTGCCAAAAGTACTACAATAGGCGACTAAATTTACATTAGGCCTCGTTTGGGAACAGGCTAATTTAGTAACTTTTTGGCTATTTGGCTAAAAAGGTAGGTAAAAAAAACTTGTATGCAATTATATTTTATTAGTTTTTTTTTTCATATTTGGTTTTATCAGTGTCCAACCAGACAAAAACAAGACAACTCTTGCTCTCTTCCCTCTTTCTCTGTGTGTGTGTGTGTGTATGTCTCTCTCTCTCTCTCTCTCGTACCCACCATCGATCTTTCACAATTGCTTACTATCGATCATCGAACGTCGCACATCACCATTGTCACCGCCGCTTGCTCGTTGTTCACCTAGCAGCTACTCGCCGTTTGCCTCGTAGCTGCTCGTATCGCATCTCTTCAACATTGAGGTTTTTCTCTTCCTCTCTCTATCTTTCTCCCTCTCCTTCTCGGTCAAGCCCTTCCCAAACCAAGCTTTTAAGCCCAGGCTAAAATAGCCAAAAAAGCCAAAAAGCCAAAAAGCCAACCCACTTCCCAAACGGAGGCTAACTTTTTGACTAATTAACTAAAATAACCTCTTGCCAAACGAGGCCTTAGTCAGCAATGGTATGAAATTTTTTGGTGGGAATGTTTTCAAATATAGAGGCAATTATATTTTATTAGTTTTTTTTTTCATATTTGGTTTTATCAGTGTCCAACCAGACAAAAACAAGACAACTCTTGCTCTCTTCCCTCTTTCTCTGTCTCTCTCTCTCTCGTACCCACCATCGATCTTTCACAATTGCTTACCATCGATCATCGAACGTCGCACATCACCATTGTCACCGCCGCTTGCTCGTTGTTCACCTAGCAGCTACTCGCCGTTTGCCTCGCAGCTGCTCGTATCGCATCTCTTCAACATTGAGGTTTTTCTCTTCCTCTCTCTATCTTTCTCCCTCTCCTTCTCGGTCTCTATTTTCTGTCTTTCTTTCTCTATTTCCTTATTTCACTGTAGCTCTAGGGTTTGCTTTTTTATGGTGTAGGGTTTTGATTTATGTGAAATCAATGAACCAATGATTGAAATGGGTTTCTATAAAATGATTGAAGGAACAAGTAATTTATTAAGGTTTTTTTTTTAGCCAAAATCAAGATTTCCCCATTTACCCATTTCACTCTAGTTCCAGATTCAAGATTTAGGTAGATAATTGAAAAAAATTAAAAGACAACATGTTTTTATAATCTTTTATGGGTTCTTTTTTTTTTTTTTTTTTTTTCTTCTTCTAGATAACAGACAGTTATTCTTCTAGATGAAAATTAGTTTGTTACTTATTAAGTGCAAGACATCTATGATTTCATTTGCTATAAGAACTTTATTTAGAATTTGCCCCCTTTGAATCAAACCTTATTACAATACATAAAATATATAGTTGTTCTTAGACCCAAATATATATAGTTGTTCCTCTCTTTGTTTTGCTTTAAATTCCCAATTTAGAGCTCTCTTAAAAATTAATTTTTGTTCTGTTTTATATTTTTTCTTTGAATTAGAACTCTCTGTGAAGTGGGTTGGTGTTAATTGAGAGAAAGGTAGTTCTTGGGATTTGTTTTTAAGTTTTCTTGACTTGAGTTGACTTACGGTTCGAAATGGTTCTCAATTGAGCTTTTTAACTATTAGATGCTTCTGTGCTGGAATGCTCTTCACTTACAGGTTAGCTTTGAATGTTTTGTTTAATGTCCCAATTGATGATTTCTATTGATTTCAATTTGTATGGTTGATATGTTCAATTTGATGAAGTGGGTATCAATTTGTTTCATTGAAATTTCTGTATTTTTGTTTGAAAATTCTAAAAACATTATTTTTTTAATGGGTTATAGATTTGGGAATCAGTGGTTTTATGAAATTTTCTCATTTTGGAGTGGTGGTGATGGAAGATTATGTGGAGTTTTGTTGTTATGGGTACCCATTGCAAAGAATTTAAATAAATAAAAAGAAAAATGCTTGAGACTCCATTAATCTCCCACATATGATTGCAAATATCTGTTGCACATCTGCTGAAGTTAAATGCAAGGACACTAAGGAATGAATGAGGGAAGTGTGTAATGACCCTATCACTGTGACACTGGCATGTGGATACATGTTGAGTCTCAATTGAAAATATCTAGGGGATATAAGTGGGGGCAAATTCATATTATAAGCTAACACTAAAATGGATGACCCATGTTGTTAACAATATCTTAATTAGAATTTTTCTTGTAACTATGTGATTTATATAAGCATGCCCCTGTCTTAAATCGTCTTGGAATTGATTGTGTTCTGTGTTCAGGTCAACATTTCTACTAATATAGGAATGAAGCTTACGTATAATAATAGAAGGTCAACATTTCTACTAATATAGGATTAAAGCTTGCATATAATAATAGAATGTCATCCATGGCTTATTTGACTCATCATTCGAAAATGTAAGGCAAATTATTGTTCATTGTTTCTTTTCTTTGCCCTTCATTAATGGTTATTTTGACCTTGTTTTTCTTTAACCCATCACCTATTTTCATTTTTCTCATTTCCATTTTGATACCATTTCACATTTACCACCTTGCTTCAACTTAGAACTTGTCTGACAAAGTTTTAGTGCTTTCTGAAATCTAAACAGATATCATATTGGTATCTTCTATCTTGGTTATGAATTTCTTCAAATTTTTAGCAAAGACTATTCTTATAGTGGACATCCTATGCATGATGATTGATAACTTATTTTTTTTAAAATTGTGAAAAGTCACATTGCATGGAACAAAGATAATGAATTTCATTATAATGAATAATATGAGGTTGATTAATATAGTATGTAATGTTTTCTTTCTTGCTTGCTTTCTTTTTTAAAAAAATAAAATAAAATTAGTGAGCTGTTAATTAGACATTATGTCATGCACGTCAGAATCAATAATTGTCAAGAGTTATTACCTTTCTCTAAATCTTAATAATGGCAAGTAGAGGTTATATTAGCGTCATCTTCAAAGTAATTATTTGGGCAAGTGTTTTTTTACTACCTATACATTGACCAGAGTGATTTCTTCTTTCAGATATTTTGTGATTAACTATTGTTAGTGTCTTTGGAACTCAATTGATATCTATGGATTGAGTAATTAACTATTGTTAGTTTCTTTATTTATCTATCATTTCGTTTACTGCTGTGGGTTCCCTTTTCCTCTTTCCCCTTGGGTTTGTTCACCTTCCTCTGATGGAAGACAAAAGTTTAAGCTCATATACACCGATATTCAGAATTCCCCCTTGCTCCCTTGTTAATTGTTTGATGTTTGAGGATCAAAACAAAGGTTAAAAGCCCACTCAAAACAGCCCTTGCTGCTGCAAAATTCTGAGTTTAGGATCGTATTTTCAAAATAGAAAAATCAATATGTGGAAAATTTTCATTCCAAATTTTGCATTTATGTGGGCACCAAACTTTTGTCTATACGTGAAAATTCTGAGTTTAGGATCGTTTTCCCAAAACGCATGACTTGTTTAATGCCAGACTTGAGTCCTTATTTTTTTGTAAATTTCATTTTTCCCAAAGGAAAAACACGGGAAAGATATGATTAGAGAATATGATTAGATACAAGTCTTTGTTTAACTTTGTAAAAATCCTTTTCCATACTTGCATTCTATAGGTTCATCTTCTAAGCAGGACTATACCCAACTTGTAGGAATGATTTGATGTTCTTTTATATACTCTTCTTATTTGCTTGATTTGGATCTTCTAACATGTTTTGTAATTATGTGGTTCATGGAAACTAAGTTGATGTCGCAGAGATCACTCTGCAGTAATGCGGAGAAGTTTGAATTTCAGGCTGAGGTGTCTTGGCTTATGGACACCATTATCAATTGGCTTTACAGCAAGAAAGATACCTTCTTTAGGGAGTTAATCTCCAATGCTTCTGATGTAAGTATATTTTTCCTTGGAAATTTCCTTAACAATGATACATTTATATCTATATTATGTTAGGCATGAATCAAGCTAGTTTCATCTTTTGCTATTGGTCGAGTGATAACGATCCAGGCTGGCTTCAACTAATGCTAATCTGGTCCTTTAATTTTCCTTCCTCAGCTGGTTAATGATTTTTGTTGTTTAATTTTTTCCCCAGCATCATAACATAAGGCCTTATATGAATTTGAGGCTCAAGAATTCATTGACACCACCGGTATAGATGCTTTTGTAGTGTGTATTGGAAATGTCCATGGAAAATACCCTGCAAGTGGCCCAAATCTCAGACTTGATTTACTAAAGGTGAAGTATAGTTATCGATTTACTGAAGGTGTAGTATAGTTATCAATTACGTGATTTTGAGTTATTGCATTAGAGTGTTAATTTATTACTAATTAATTTATATGCACAAAAAGTTCACCTCTATTATTAATAGACAACATTTGGCAGAACTACTTATCCTTCCATGTTGGATTTTTAGTATTTTCATTGACGTCATGTTTACATTGTGCTTTATTAAGAAAGTTATTTCATATTTTATTTTATTTTATTATTATTATTTTTTAAGTGACTGCTGATGGGAAATAAGTACTTTTGCTTTTTGGCTCCTTCTTTTCCTGATAACCAAACAACCCTTAAATATAGTAATAGGTAGCTTCCTTGTGTGAAAAATGACTTGTGAGAACTGCCTTTAAATATAAGACACATAGTTTGGGAGTTAAAATAAAAAATACCTTAAACTTAGTCAAAAAAAGGAGGTTTGGGGGGCGAAAATTCAAAATAGGCCCCCAACCACTATTGGGATGTAACATGCAGCTTCCTCATGCCAAAAATAACTTGTGAGAACTGATGGTACATAAATGGGACACGTAGATTGGGAGTTACAATCGAAAATGCCTTAAACTTAGTAAAAAAAATCGGGTTCGGGGGGTGAAAATACAAAATAGCCCCCCAACCACTGTTGGGATGTAACAAACAACTTCCTCATGCCAAAAATGACTGGTGAGAACTAATGGTACATAAATAGTATATTGGGAGTTACAATAGAAAACACCTTAAACTTAGTCGAAAAAGGGCTTTCGAGAGGCGAAAATGCAAAACAACCCTTGAACCGATGTATGGTTATCTCAGGCAGCATCCTTATGACAAATAGGACCTATGGCCATAGACGGCATATAATTCGCATCTACAGTTTGATAGTTAGAGCCAAAAACACCTTAAACTTAATCAAAAAGGGGCTTCCAGGGAGTGAAAATGCAAAATAGCCCCCGAACCAATGTATGGCTGTCACGAGTAGCATCCTTGTGACAAATAGGACCTGTGGCCATAGGCGGCATGTAATTGACACCCGTAGTTTGAGATTTAGAGCAAAAAATGCCTTAACCTTAGTCGAAATGGGCTTTCAGCAGGCGAAAATGCAAAACAGCCCATGATCCAATGTATGGTTGTTATGGCCAGCATCCTCATGACAAATAGGACCTGTGGCCACAGATGGCATGTAATTCGCATGAGAAGTTTGAGAGTTAGAGCTAAAAATGCCTTAAACATAGTAGAAAATGGGGTTTCGGGGGGTGAAAATACAAAACAACCTCTGAACCATTGTATAGATGTTACGAGTAGCATCCTTGTGACAAATAGGACCTATGACCACAGATGACATGTAATTCACACACGTAGTTTGAGAATTAGAGTTGTGGCCACAGACGGCATGTAATTCTTCTATATACTTTTCAATCCAACTGCATGGATACAGTACCTGTTTTCTTGATATGTCCACATCATCAGATACTAAAGCTATTTTCCATGAGAAAAAGAAAAGAAAAGTGATGGAACAATAAAGTAGCAACTCCATTAATATGTCTTCTACAGTACATGGAACTGGATTGAAAGTAAAAAAATTAGAAACGCAAAAGCTATACACAGGACAGATCACAGTCATCACCAAAAGGCTATCAGTCATGCATTACTATTAGTTTTAAAAAAACATGAATGCATAGCTACATTGAAGCAGGCATTTTTGAATACTGATGTGTGCACTTCTTCTTCTTCTTCTTTTTTTTTTTTTTTTTTTTTTTTTTTTTTTTTTTTTTTTTTTTTTTTTTGTATATGGCTTTTGGTGTGGACTTGTGGATACTCTTTTTCTGTGTATGGAGGACAATTTCGACTTTTGTATAATCCTGATAATTTTGTCATCCTCCACTTTTGTATGGATTATTATTACTCGTGTTGATATTTTTTGGCATCGACTTGATAATTACTGGTGTGGTAAATAGAATTCCTTTTGTCGTGGTACAGATTATGATGGTAATTTATACCACAACAAATGGCCATTTCGCATGGCAACATATACATTTTTTGTACATAGAGGGCTTATTTTTGTAACTTTTGCAGTTATGTTTTGTATGGAATTATTATTTTAGTTTGGACTATATAGTACAGGTTGGACTATGGTTTGTATGGAATTTTTCATTTATAGTTATACATTTTTGAATGGTTGGAAGTGAAATGGATGCAGATCTATTGTGGAATGATTGATAATATATGTATTTCTTCGTTCATATATGTAGTACAGGTTGTACGGAATACATACAGGTCGTAAACAAATTAGAATTTGGAGAGAAAGCGTAACTTTTTGTTTTGCTGACTAAACAATTTGTAGGCATAAAGGAAATATATAATTTAGCAACTAAATAGTTAGTCGCTAAAAAAAAATTGAAAATGTTTTTGGCAACTAAAAGTTTAGTAGCCAAAAAAACAAATCACACTTTAGGCAACTAAAATGTTTAGTAGCTACAAAATTGCAAACAAACTACAAAAATGTTTTGGCGACTAAAAGTTTAATAGGTAAAATCAATTTAGACTTTAGGCTACTAAAATTTTAGTAGCCGAAAACAATCAAACATTAGGTTACTAAATTATTTAGTAGCTAAACAAAAATAATCCAAAAAAGAAGTCATTTTTGGCGGCTAAAGGGTTAGTGACCAAAAACAAATGAAACTTTTAGCGATTAAAAGTTTAGTAGAAAAAAAAAAAAATCAAACTTTAGCGACTAAAATATTTAGTAGCTAAAAAACAATAACATGACATAAAAAAAAAATTATTTGGCGACTACAATTTTAGTTATAAAAAATAATTCTGAACTTTAGGCAACAACAAATTTTAATCACTAAAACTATTGTAGATAATTTTCCTTTACTGCTTTTGGTGACTAAAATTTTTTTAGTCGCCAAAAACTTTTCCCGACAATTGGTCACCGACTAACGTGGTGACCAAAACTTTTAGTCACTAAAAACCTTTGTCAACTAAAACATGACTTTTAGCGACTAAAAATTTAGTCGCCAAAAGTGCTATTTCTTGTAGTGATTGTTAATAACTCTTATAAATGTCATTAGATCCAACTTTTAGTGGCAGCTCAAAGTGTTAGTGTATCACTATTCATTTGCGCCGGAAATGGAGATAAATTGAAAAAAAATAAAATAAAATAAAATAAATAATTTTTTGACAACATTCACTCCATTGATATTTTGGTTTGCAAGATAAACAAATAATAATTACAATTGATACAAATACAATAATATTGTTCTTAACTAATAAAATAAAATTAAAACATTGTTCCTATTTTGACAAAGTCAATATCATTATCATAATATCATAAACATAAATTAAACAAATACAATATTTACTTGTCAAAAAAGAAAAAGAAAAAAAAAAGGTAATATTCACATCCATAAAAAGCATGTATCGCTATACTTCTTTAATAATATTTGTGGAAGTCAATGCCCAAATCATGTTCTTATAAGCTCCTTCTAATTACTAGAATCAGTCTCATAGAAGTATCTATGCAAATTAGAATGGGGCCCCATAAATATGCTCCTCAAATGCTTTGTTGATGATGTATTGCAATACAAGCAAAAATCAACAAGTAAGAAGAAAAATACACTATCTAAAAAGCGAAATCAGAAACAAATAAAAATAGCTCAACATATCACAAGTAAATCCATTCTATTGAATCCATAGTAATCATTAGTAGATACTGTGGAAGGTATAAGATTCTCTATAGGAAATGTGAGACGAGGTAGTCCTTCTTTTGCTCTGCACAGAGAAACCAACTAGTCAGTGATCTCTCTCGACCAGATTTGGCCGAGAGGACCCTTCGACGATCAAGTTAGACATAAGATCGTCCATATAATATTTATATTATGGAATATATTTTTTAATTCTTTCTTTCCCTTCCCATTTGCTTTTCCTTATTCTTCCTTTTATAGTGTTATGGTCCAGGCCTTGATCGTTGGATTGGCATCCTCATCTAAGGGTTTTGGTTATCTCCAGACTTTCGTCGGGCAAGTGGCCAGATTGTTTTGATCCTTTGTCATTGGATTACCTTGCTGTGTACGGCTTAGATTATGTCAGGCTGCGTAATTACCTCATTCGTCCGATTAGGTTCATCTAACGATTATTTCATTTGCATGGGCCAAACCTATATACCTATCTTTGATGGTTGTGATCTTCACCGTCAATTGTGAATAAATCTGACGGCATTCTTGCATTCTACGTATCTCCTTCTAAAATGTGATTTTGTTCAGGCTTTAGTCACGTGACACTGTCCCCTCCTTCGTTGGACCTATCAATGGTTGGGCCTTTTTGATTGTTGGACTGGACTTGGCCTTTGGATCTTGGGCCAATACACCTTGTCTTTGGGCCATTGTTTTTAACTGTCCACAATTGGCCCTCTTCGGCAATCCTTAGTGGTCGACTGCCGAAGACATCATGGCCACCCCTATTTGGAATCCCAATCGTAGCCTCTGTAAGCGACACGTATCCCCTCTATTCTTTTAAATTTAATGGTGATGCCTATCATTTCATCTTTCAATGCGCCGTTTCACCTCTAACACATTAATTGAGGGGTTGTCCCTTACCCTTTGCCATTTCACTCATCGTCTTTTCTCAGAACCTCATGCGTGTTCCCTTCCATCCTTCGCTTGAAGTCTCAATTTGTAATCCTTGTAAGTTTTCTCCTTTTGTTTGCTTCTTTCAATTTTGAATTTTTTTTTTCGCTTCTCCTGTTGCTATTCTTCATTTACTCCTACTATGAATTGTTTAAGAAGTTTTTTTGAGTCTGAGGAAAACTTTGTGGAGTTTAGAACTCTGTATAGCGTTTCTGATGATGTTACCATTCGTCTACCCTCTTTTGACGATAGCATCTCAGAGGGATCGAAAGAGTAAATTCCTCTCCCTTTAATAACCATAGTCAATGGGGGAGTTCGATTCCCCCTCTATCTTCTTCTTAGGGAGGTGCTTTACTTTTACGGGGTACCTTGTTCCCAGCTCTCGCCTAATTTCTTTAGGATTGTTATAGGCGTAGTTTCTTTGAATGATCTGTTAGAGATCAATTTAGGCCTCCTTAAAGATTAGGCATTGTTATAACTTAGTTCTTACCATGAAGAAAATGATGAAAATTTACTTCAAGCCCATATCGGTAAAGCGCCAACTTGTTCAGATGCTTCCTGACTCTGGAAAAGGTGTTAATGATGTATTTGTCACAGTAGAGGGGAATTGGGAGTTTTCTTCTAGAGCTGATCACATCCAACCTATACCAAAGGTCACTGGCTAACCAGGTTATCTTCTGTCTTTTTAGTTGCTTGTGATGTTGTTTTTGTTTTTAATGTTTGCTTATTAATGCTTTGCTTATTTCTTGCAGCGCCTAAAGTCTTTTTCCATCCCAGTGAGTGGGAGGATCAAGTAAACCTCCCTTTTCTCCAACCAGCTTTGTCATACAGAGGGCCGCCAGAACAACATAGTCATGGTCGAGCAACCCACATGCTGCTCTCTTACATTACCTACTACAGCACCGTGATTGTGACAGATGGTATAAACCTTGGCAAAAATGGCAGTTTCTATTTTTATATCCTTGCACACCTTCGGGAGAATATTGAGGAAGTAGCATCCGAAGAAGAACAACAACAAGAAGAATCTTCTAGTTCAGAGGCTACAATTTCAATCACCATGCCCCTAAAGAATTTCCTAGAGATAACTGTTTCCAGAAAGTGTCAGAGATGGTGAGTCGGCCTCTTCTTCATAGATTGTCTCTAATGCTTCTGATCGGCCCCAACGATCTTCGATCATGGTGGTGGACAATTCTTCTCCTCCTCCTGCTATGGGTGCTAACGAAAGCACCCTTCCCCAGCCACTGAGTCAGAGGTCGGGCAAACGTCCAACCAATCAATCTACAGAGGTTTGGAAGAAGATCCAGTCAGATTCCTCTACTATTGCTGCTACTACTACTACTACTGCTGCTACTGTTTTATCTCCGACTTCCTCTTCAAAAGCAAGAGCCACTGGCTCCCTGACCATCCTTATGCTTGCCATAAAGGATCGGCAAATAACAAACACTGATATAGCCATGGGTAATGTTGAGGTGGCCCATGCGATTATTCGAATCTCCTTGCTGATACTGCTCGTCTAGCCGAACAGACAGATGTGGCAATTTTCTCACAGCCCTTGCACTTCTCTTTGGTGGTAAGTACCTTATTATAATGTTGTGAGGGGTTTGTTTCTGGAAATGTTCACCTGCCTTATATATATATATATATATATTTGTTTTACGGTCTGTTCTCTGCCTACGAGGCCATAGTTCACCATGACAAAGTCATCAGGGCTGCGGACAAACTGAAGACCATAAGTGATTGGCAAAATGAGAAGGTGAAGAAGCTAGAGCTTCGGCTAGCGACTTTAGAGGGGAAAGTGGCAGAGGTGGAGAAGAAGTTATTGATAATGGACTCTGTGCTAAAGTCTTCAACACAAGAGGTTAATGGCCTGAAGGAGGATAAGGAACAAATTTCATCTGCTCTTGCTACTTCGAAGGCAAGTCTTATAGATGCGGTCAAGACAGCTAAGGAAGAGGGATGCAATTAAGCCACAACCATTTATGAAGAATAGTTTGCCAAGCTAGAGAACATGTTGTTTGAACACAGATGGATGTCTACGCTTCAAGCTGCTAATGTGCTAGTGGATTCCGAGCTAAGGAAGAACATCCCTTTCCCGCACCCAGATGCCATGGACAAGCCTAGTGGACAGACTACCGAAGGGGCAGGGGCAGGAGCAGTCTGAAACTAAGTGCATTTTTTTTTTTAGATGTAGTTTTATGTGTATGAACTACTCTAGATTAGATGAAAGTTTTTGTGATTTTATTGTTTAGATGTAGTTTTATGTGTATGAACTACTTTCTATTATATGAAAGTTTTTGTTAAGTCATTTGTTTATGTTATGTATGAATGGATGGGGGTTATATGAATGTTTTTGGGATGTTGGTTTGGAATGTTTTTGGGATTCGTTTGTTGTTCTTATGGGAATTTTCTGGGGCCTACTTCTTGCCTCCAAGCAAGAGTTTAGCATCATTAGTAGCCGATATACTCTTTCTAAGATAGATGTTCTTAGGAGACCCCTCCTAAAACCACTCCTTGCTTTCGAGCAATAGATCGGCATCATTTTTAGCCGATGTACTACCCCTGTGATAGGTTTCCTTAGGATAACCCTCATAGGTCTATTCCTTGCTCCTAAGCATGAGATTGGCATTGTTTTCAGCCGATGTACTATCCCTGGGATAGGTTTTCATAGGAGAACCCTTATAGGTCCATTCCTTGCTCCCAAGCAAAAGATCGACATCGTTTTCAGCCGATGTACTATCCTTGGGATAGGTTTTCATAAGAGAACCCTCATAGGTGCATTCTTTGCTCCCAAGCAAGAGATCAACGTTGTTTTTAGCCGATGTACTATTCCCAGGATAGGTTTTCTTAGGAGAACCCTCATAGGTCCATTCCTTGCTCCCAACCAAGAGATCGGCATCATTTTCAACCGATGTACTATCCCTGGGATAGGTTTTCTTAGAAGAACCCTCATAGGTCTATTCCTTACTTCCAAGCAAGAGATCAACATTGTTTTCAGTTGATTTATTATTCCTGGGATAGGTTTTCTTAGGGTTT